TATAAGGGTATCAAAATTAAATATAAGGGCATAAGTATCCAAGAAAATAGTGTAAATTAAGAAAAAAGACTTTATGGAATAAAATTATACATATATGGGACTAAATGGGTTAAAAATTTTCTTCATGAATTTCTTAAGTTAAAACACTTCTAAATAGGATTTATCAATAATTTTTCCTTATTTTGCACTCATTTGGCATAGAAGATTTTGGCGTTAAAAAGTTATTTTAACCACAAAATCACAAAATAAGTTAAAAAATTAATAAAATAAAATGTCACATTGAAATCATAATAATCATTTCATTTTTTTACAAGAAAAGTAAAAAATAAAAAATATATTCTAAACGAGACTTTTCAGCTCTAAGATAAAATAGTTAAAAAGTCAAAAAAACAACCTACATTCCAAACGAACCATTATAAAGATATATTTAATGAAATTTTGCAATAAGAATAATAAATTATTATTTTGAATGACTTTATTTTTATATTTTTTTCTTCTCTTACCCAATGCAGATAGATCGACAATCGCCAACAGGTTGGGTAGGACAGTTGTTGGTTGATGATGACAATTGATGATGCGATAATGCTACGTAACTCAAATTTTGTGGCTCAAAAGTGGTTCAAATGGCCAAAACGACGTCGTTTTGAGTACAGAACAACATAAAAATGGCCAAAACGGCCATTTGAGCCACTTTTGAGCCACAAAATTTGAGGTACGAGACATTTTCTTTGATGATGGTAGTGATATGGATAAATAGACAAGTTAAGTGAATGACACGTGAAAAATCAAATAAAAAAATAATGTGGACATATATGGGGCTTAGACAAATATATGGATTATGTACAATAAGTAAGAATAATATAATATTTCAAAGTACTATTATCTTTTTTAACTAAAGGAAGAAAAAAAAAAGAAGAATTACAAATAGACAAGTTAAGTGAATGACACGTGAAAAATCAAATAAAAAAATAATGTGGACATATATGGGGCTTAGACAAATATATGGATTATGTACAATAAGTAAGAATAATATAATATTTCAAAGTACTATTATCTTTTTTAACTAAAGGAAGAAAAAAAAAAAAGAAGAATTACAAATTAGTGTTAATTTGAGAAAATTATTAAATATTTACAACCAAAAAAAATTATGATTTTTATTATTAGTAATTATAAACTTTATCACTTGTAATTTCTTTTTGAGTTGTACATTAATATGAAATTTTTCCAAGAAAAAATAGAACTCGAAATTACTTTCCTACTAATTTTGAGATTCTCTATAAGTATTTCTTAATCCGGTCCAAATCACCGGTTTAATCTAGTTTTTATTAGTTTTGATTATGGTTGTGATTTTGAAATAGTGGAATCATTTAAATTTGTCTGATTCTTGATTCTAAGATTTTAGTTAGGATTCCGAGCTGAAACAAATCGAACTGTGACATATTTATTTATTATTATTTTATATATAAAAATTAAAATATAAAAAATTTCTTATAAATAGTTTTCATTGTAAAATTGATAAATTCTAACCAATTTAACCAAATTAATTATTGTTAGTTTATTTACTAACGTAAAATATATATTATATTTGTTGTTATATAAATTTTTTAGAACTGCATAGTCGAATTGAATCAAACCGATTATTGTTATTCGATTCTGATCAAATTTCATAAGTTTAATTGTTCAATTCTTATTTTTTAAAAATTATGAGAACTGGTTTAATTACTGATTTGTTTTAAAACCAAACCAATCCGATCGGTATACAGCCTTAGTTATCAGACATCTTTCCTCTCAAGTTCAAATTATAAATTGTTTGTTTTTTTCCCTGTCACAATTATTCGGGGAAACAGACGCCAATTCCGAAAACTAGTAGTAAAAGTCAAAGGGCCATGCTAGCGTGATAGCCCAATGACACCACTTTGGAATTTTCTTCTTATCCAAACAAGTACCATACACCGAGATCCTTATGTCGACCTCTTGTGGTTTTAATTCTCACTAATCCTCAACCCTAACCCCACTCTCTCATCTGTCTTCTTCTTCTTCTTCTCTTGTCTCTTTCCTCAGTTTCAAAATTAGTTCCACCCTCTCAAATTCATTCCCAGCTCACCCATTAAACAAAAAGGTACGTGTCATCAGCTTCAATTCCCTATAGTAGGCTCTGATTGTGGCGTCTAAGCATAATCAGAGTCTACTTACAGAGAATTTAGGTGTGTTTTGGAAAGATTGTTAAAAGTTATTTTTTAATTTTTTTGTGAGAGAGGGAAGTGTGTTAATTTTTAACCCACTTTCTAAAATAGCCCTTAAATTAGTATGAGATATTGAATTAGTAAGAGAGACGTTAAGATTATCAATATATCTGTATATTTTACAAAAGAATATTTTTAAGCAAAGATATTATGAGAGTTTCAATATCTCATACAAAATTATTTTTAAAATCAAAATCTTTATATGGGATTCTAAAATAAAAGTTAAATAGAAACTAGCCAATGAGGATTTTTTTAATTGTTAAAATTAAAAAAAAAATCAAAAAAAATTAGTATGAGATATTAATCATAAGATTTCTAACTAAAAATATCATTTTTGCTTATATAAATGAGAATATAAGATTCATTTTATACAAGTAAAACAATTCACTTATTCTTTCTTTTTCTGATGTGAGATTATAAAATAAAAGAATAAAAGGTAAATAGAAGCTAGTTAATGGAAATTTTCTTAATTGTTTAAAATTTAAAAAATTCAATAATTTTAGAATGAGTGTTTGGAGCTCCTAGAAGGGTTGTCCCTAAAAACTCAATTTTCCTTATATAATATATATATATATATATATATATGACATTAGGTTTACAAAATAGGTTAAAAAGTTATTAAGACAAAATGTCACATCAAAATCATAATTATTTAATTTTTTATGTTACAAAAGTAAAAAAAAAAAAATCAAAAAGGCTATCTCAAACGAGATTTTTTAACTCAAGATAAAATAGTCAAAAAATTAAAAAGTTAAAAAACCAACTCATATCTCAAACGAACCATTATAAAGATATATTTAATGAAATTGTTCGATCAGAATAATAAATTATTGGGTAAATTACAAATACACCCTTTAAGATTTGCTTAAAATACGAATTGCCTCTTATGGTTTGAAAAATTACAAATACTTTATTGTCATAATTTTTTATTTAACAGAATTAATTGAAAAAATAAAATTTCTATCTGTACACCTATACAATAATAAAATTATCTGAATTATTAATTAAAATAAAATTAAAACATTATTAAAAATTATTAATTAACTTGATGATTTATTAATAAAATGACATATTTGTTATAAAGTTAGAAACCCCAGGGACATAATGTAATTATTTATAACTTAAAGTAAATCTCAGGTATATGTTTGTAATTTACCCAAAACGGCAATGTTGAGGACCCCAGCACCCCTACCTTCACGTAGGGGCTGCCAATGGAAGAAAAAAAAAAAATTTTGGACCAATCAAAAGGGACCGCAGCACCCCCACTGGGGTCTCATGCATTTTCCTATCCAAAATTATTGTTTTGAATATTTTTTTTTCTTTATTTTTTTCTTCTCTAGTTTTGTCTAAGAAAAATGCTTGGGAGCACTAATTAGTGCTCCCACTAATTAGGTGGCAGTGGGTCCCGTTATTAATGATGTGATATTTTGGTCTTGGAGTTGTATTTTTTTTTGATGACATTTTCAGGGTAGATGAGTCTTTGAGTTCACCAAGAAGGTCTAATCAATACCCTTCTTGCTCGACCCCTGGTTCGCTGGTCTCGACCCCTTCCCATTCTCTTCGTTCAAGAGCTGATCCTGTCTAAGAAAAATGCTAGGTGGCAGTGGGTCCCGTCATTAATGATGTGATATTTTGGTCTTGGGTATTTTTTTTTTTTTTACTTTTTTAATGCATTAGTGCTATTAGTAGTGATGTTTTTAGTGGGATGAATCATTGTTGTTTACCTAATGCAGATAGATCATTGGACAACCGCCAATTGGTTGGGTAGGACAGTTGTCGGTCGATGACAATTGCTGATGATAGTGATATGGATAAATAGACAAATCAAGTGAATGACATAGGAAAAAAAATTACAAAAAAATAATATGGACAGATATATGGCTCAGACAAATATATGAAAAATGTACAAATAAGTAAGAATAATATAATATTTCAAAATATTATTATCTTTTCAACTTAAAAAAAAAAAGAAGAAGAATTACTAATTAGTGTTAATTTGAGAAAATTATTAGATATTTATAATAAAAAATTGTAATTTTTATTATTAGTATTTATAAACACTATCACTTGTAATTTCTTTTGAAGTTGTACATTAATATGAAATTTTTCCCCCCAAAAAAAATAGAACTCCAAATTATTTCCCTATAAATTTTGAGATTTCCTATAAGTATTTCCTAATCCAGTCCAAATTATCGATTAGTCTAGTTTTTATTAGTTTTGATTATAATTGTGATTTTGAAATAGTAGAATCATTTAAATTGGTTTGAGTCTCGATTCTAAGGCTTTAGTTAGGATTCCAAACTGAATCAAACCGAATCGTGACATATTTATTTATTATTATTTTATATCTTTTATATATAAAAATTAAAATATAAAAAATTTCTTATAAATAGTTTTTATTGTGAAATTGATAAACTCAAACCAATTTAATCAAATTAATTATTGTTAATTTATTTACTAACGTAAAATATATATTATATTTATTGTTATATAAAATTTTTATAACCATTAGAATCAAATCAAATCAAACTGATTTCTATTATTTGATTCGAATCCAATTTTATAAATTTAATTATTCAATTACAATTCTTACTTTTTCTTAAAATTCTTACTTTTTTTTAGAATCATAAGTACTGGTTTAATTATTGATTTGTTGTAAAACCGATCCGATCCGATCCGATAAGACATCTTTCCTCTCAAGTTGGAATTATAAGTTGTTCTTTTTTTCCCTGTCACAAACATTCCGGGAAACAGGCGCCAAGAAAATTAGTAGTAAAATTCAAAGGGCGTGCTAGCCGTGACAGCCCAATGACATTTTTTTGGAATTTTCTTCTTATCCAAACAGGTACCATACACCGAGATCATCTCGACCTCTTGTGGTTTTAATTCTCACTAATCCTCAACCCCACTCTGTCATATGTCTTCTTCTTCTTTTCTTGTCTCTTCCTCAATTTCAAATGTAGTTCCACTCTCTGAAATTCATTCCATGCTCAACCATTAAACAAAAAGGTATGTGTCATCAGCTTCAATTCTCTGTAGGTAGACTCTGATTGTGGTGTCTAAGCACAGGACAACGCATAATTTCTTGAATTTGAAACTGTTCGCTTATGATTCATGTTATTGAAATGGCTTTATGTAAAGGAGTTCAAAAGTTGATGTAGATTTTCCCTCCATTTTTTCAAAATTTGAATTCTCAGCTAATCAGAGCCGTTTCTTTGGTTGTTGATTATTGATAATTGGTTTTGGCTGGGTTGGTTCGATTAATATGGAGAGGTTTGCTCAGAGAGAAAACGTTTTACTGAGTTATTGCCCTCAAAAACCTTTGAAAGACTCAGATATTGATTTTCACGACGTCTTTGGCGGCCCACCGAGGCGGTTCTCGATGCAGGAGATGCGATATAGCTTCACTAAAAGCATGAATTCTACTGGAAACACAACTAGGGGAGAGGATGATAGGGTTTTGCCTCAAAATCCGTGGTCTGGCCTGAATGAAATGCCAGTGTTTGGCGAGGAAACTGTGAATCATCGGCGATACACGAGCGATGACTTCTTTGATGACATTTTCAGGGTAGATGAGTCTTTGAGTTCACCAAGAAGGTCTAATCAATACCCTTCTTGCTCGACCCCTGGTTCGCTGGTCTCGACCCCTTCCCATTCTCTTCGTTCAAGAGCTGATCCTTTTGGCAATTCACTTCCTGCTCAATTTCAATTAAGGTTTTGGCTTCTCTCAATCGTATTTAAATTAATTTTTTGCAGATATGATGTGTATATCTTTCAAATAATGGCAGACTATATGCAGGATTGTTGTGATATTGCAGCATACTAAAATAGTTTGTATCGCAATTCAATATTTTAGAGCTTCTTGATATGATGTTGCTCATGTTCTTTGTTGATATTGATTGCTACCACTGCTAATGATGGGTTCTCAATAAATTCTACATAATTTGAATTGGGCATGTCAATGTTTTTAGTATTCCTTGAATTACTTTTGTTATTAAACTATTTATGGTGTGTTTGGTTGGGGGATTTGTGGAGGGATTTGGAAAGGGAAAGGGAAAAGGTGTGTGAAACTATGCAAAATATAGGCGAAATATATACATATTTTATTCACATTTCACCTACCTTTTCCATTTCCCTTTCCAAATCCCTCCCCAAATCTCCCAACCAAACACAGCATAAAAGTATCGGTGCCAGATCTAATATTTTTCTCAACTGTCCTTGAATTTTCTTGTTTCTTACTTATCAGTTTCCACAGTTCCATACAATAACAATTGCACATTTACTTTTTTTCACTTTTAGATGGAAAGTAATCTAATATTTTTTCTTTGAAGTTCCCTCCATTAAATAAAATTTCTCACATTTTTTTGCTCGTTAAATTATATTTGTTGCTCATTGATCACTCTCCATAGCACTACACAATCGGGTGCACATTTAGTTCCGTGATCTATCTCCTTATTATCATGCAATTTTAAAATCCTCACTTGAATTGCTTTGATTTTCTAGCCTTCCTGCCAAATTGACAAAAACAACGGAGTTTCCTGCATTTGCTTCGAGCAATCGCAGTTCATACAGAGGCAAGGATCCCGCTTCAAATGGGATAAATTGTGTATACACACCAAGCTCTCCTCTGTCTAGACAGTTAAGTGAAGCTTTCCAGGAAGAGGATGAGTTGAGAAGTGAAATTCATCAATCTTATCGCCCAAGCCCTTTGTCCCATGAATTTTCTCTTAGCAACAAGGAGCCACCATGCATAACCAAATCTGGTGAATTGGAGTCAATGGATAGAGGCAACTTGAAAAAGGATTTGAAAAACACAGAAGCTCCAAGCAATAGCAGCCGGTTTCACTTCTCTATATACAAATGGGCAAGCAAAGCGGTACCAATGCATCTTAGGTTAGGTAACAGTCCAAAATCAAAAGCAAGGGTTAAAACTAAGAGATGTTCAAGCTCTAATGGAAGGATTGAACGTGACACTATAACTAGTAATGGTTTGGAAGCAGCAAATGGGCATGATTCTGATCTTCACTTTCTCAACTATAGTGTATCAGCAAATAATGAGTCCCCTTACACTGAAGGCAGGAAGCAAGATAGAGACTCACTTCTTGAAACAAGTACTGAAGACAGAGTCGAACCTTGCCATATTGTTGAGGACACGGTTCTTTCCATGCCACGATCAATTTCTGTCAACAAGATTCCAAATACCGTCAAAACTGTAGCTGGTGATGCCATCTTGAGTGATAAAAGAGAAGAAATAAAATCTCATTCTGTGTCTGAAACAGGTGTTGAAATTACAGAAAAGGGGATTGCTACAAGTATGCAAGGAGCTCAGAAACCTGAGTTGAATCATCTGCGTTCTCCGCTCTATGATACAGATGTGGGACAAGGTACTTTCATGTTTTAAGTCAGGTGTGTGAATACATCTGCACTGTTTCTAAACACTAAACCCATTTTCTTATCAGCAGGTAATGATGAGTTAATTAGAAAGTCTGAAGGGAAAGATAGCATGGTGAAAAACATGACAGTATCTGAATCAAATGCTGATGTCAGTAAAAATTTAAAGGAATGTGATGACAAAAGAATTAATTCAAATAGAGAAGAAGTGGTTCAAGAGAATGAACTTCACTCGCAAGATTCAAGCAGAACATCTGGAGACAATCTTGGGAGAAATGGAGCTGAGGGAAAGGTCAAAGAATTTGTTAAGATTTTCAACCAAGAAGCTACTTCACAACCCAAAAGTGATATCAAAACCAGAAGCCAGAGCTCTCGATGGAGAAGCACAAGCAGTTTTGGAGCAGACAATGAAGGAAGTGCTAACATAACCCAAAAAAATGGAAAAAATCATTTTCATAGCGTGAACAAGACAAAAACACCACCGAATGCTTCCTTCAAGGTAGTCTTTTTCTTCTATGTTATTAACATATGGTAATTTGTTTCCACTCATTGTGTTCAAAATAATGGTTTTCACTGCACCAGATATAAATGAATACATTTGAAATATTCTAGGTTCAAAGTAATCCATTTTGCATAATGGTTTTATTGGATTTTGTTAACTTAAATACAGCTAATTCTTCAGGTAGACAAAAATTTTGAGGAGTTAGAGCAACAACAGCCCCACTCAAAGACCAGAGTCATTAGTGTGAGTGAAATTTCAGTTGGTCAGAAAGATGCCTCAGCATCAAGTTCTGGTTAGTTCCTTCAATTTCATACCAGATGAGAACTACACATTGCATACCAAAAAAAAAAAAAACCAGAAAAAGAAAAAAGAAAACTAGAAATACTAATGAGTCAGAAATAGCAATTATGAAAATAATGTGTAAAGTTTCATCTTTCTTAAGGAACATGTAAATGATTGAACCACAACGGGAAGCAAGAGAATTCTAAGTAACTAACTGCCTATTCTCTTCAATTTTTTATGCATTTGATATTATATTTCAGTTTTCTTAAGTGGATCAGTTTATAAATCATTGTACTTTGATCGTTTCTAGATGCATCACACAAATTATTTGTGCTTTCTTCTCAGAGTCACGTCCTGATGGTTCTAAGGTTGCAGTTGGAAATATAGATGACCTCTTCCAAGAGGACTTTGTGGTAATTGTTGTATTTGTTTTTTCCCCCCTCCTATTTGCTCGTTTGCTGCAGTGCATTTTTTTTTTTTTTTTTTGGAGAGGGGGGGGGGGGAAAAAAGGGAGGGGTGTCTTCTAAAGCACTTAGTGGCACATAGTTCCTTATTTCATAATTAATTATGCAGAATTTTTATGCCAGTTGCATGTTGACATATGTGTCATAATGTAATGGAAACTAAAAACACTTAATAGCACCATGCACAGCTGATTATACAACATTAAGAGCTCTGTAGTTTCTTTTGTTTCTTTCAGTGCAATTAAATTTACTAATGAGCTAGTATCCTTGCTGCACGAACAGATAAAAGAATTATCTCATGACCAATACAAGCTGTTACAGACTGAGGAAGGTTACGACGATATCCAAGTAATGTTGACATCTTTTCCTCATTGCAACATTGCTTCCAATCTCAGTAGAATGCATTAATTATACCCTACTTATAAATCCAATGCAGATTTCAGATGCTAAAATTCAGCAATGGTCAAATGGGAAGGAAGGCAACATTCGCTCATTGCTGTCTACTTTACAATATGTAAGCATTTTCCTTCTTTTTTCTTTTCTTCCTATCAATTGTTAGTAGCAAAAAAAATTCTTCCTCATGTTGTAACTGTGGACCACAATCCACACAAAAGCTTGCTCAGGACTTTGAACTTTAGTTTCAGACATATTCACTTCACTGTATGACTAGAAAAGGGCCTGCAACACTATTGTGTCTCTTTTAGAAATTACACTGATCTTTAATTTGCAGTTCTCTGGAAACCTTTTCGGTAGATTCTTACATGACTGCCCTTCTGAAAGTGACAAGTAGAAAGCAGGATCCACAGAGACGAAGTACTATACAAATGTTGTTGAACCCTTAAGATAGATACCAAATATTCATGGAATGCCTAATTAAACTAAAACTAAAAAAATAAAATACTGAAATACTAAAGACAAAATTGCAAAGGAAACTGCATGCTAAGATTGGTGCTTCTTATAGGAAATTGATACTAAGAAATTTGTTAATTGTTACAATATCTCCTGTAAGGCCCATGCTTTCATTGTCTCTCTGACTAGTGATGTTTACACTTAATAAATAGGTTCTTTGGCCTGGGAGTGGTTGGAAGCCTGTGCCGCTTGTTGATATAATTGAAGGAAGTGCAGTGAAGAGAGTATATCAGAAAACATTACTCTGTCTGCACCCAGATAAGCTACAGCAAAAGGGTGCTGCTTCACAACAAAAATATATTGCAGAGAAAGTTTTTGATATTTTGCAGGTATAAAAAGCTTCATCCATATTTTTTCCTAGGCCTCATTGGTCAAGAGTCAACTTTGAGGTTGAGTTCTACCCAAAACAGCCTAACAATTGTGCTGCTGGACTACTAAATAATTTTTCGCCTGCATATATCATATCAAAGTAAATCTATTTTGACGTTTTCAAACATATTTAGGTTTGAATTACAAATATTTTTTTCCTGTGTTCCATACAGGATTCATGGGATAATTTCAATTCACTTGGTGCGATATGACTTACCTGTAGAATTCTCTGATGGCAATAGGACACTTGTGGAGGACAACGATCGTGTGTGCTATTTTTGGCAAGTCTATATGCATGTAAATGTAAATATCATTTTGACATTTTATATAGATTATATGCATGGTTTCTTGTATAGGACATTTACATACATCATGTTGTGCTTACTAGAAAAGTTGAGTGAGAAAAACTTTTCTACCATACTTCTTGTTATGCTCTTTGGTCACAATGAAATGAACTGAAGTTGATGCACTTTCAAAAATAAGTAAATAAATAGGTTGTTTTAATGTTCTCTGGAGAGAGAATTGGGGAGGTGTTTGGCATCTTGGATCATTATTTCTTGGGTAATTAGTTCAATTGGTTATAACTTTTGCACATCATTAAGAGGTGGTTACGGTTTGAGACAAAAAAAAATTTTAATAATATATTTTTCTTCATTTCTTCTTTTATTTTATGAAGTGTTTTGATATTTAGGATCAACTAATTAAAAAATGACAAGGATCTAATTAGAGTCAAATCAATTTCACATTATCTTTCCTCTTCTATCCCATCACCATTGCCAACCCCACCATCCCACACAAAAAGAAAACCCATTTTCCACAGACTCCATTGCTTTCATTAGGTCTGTTTGGTGATCTTCATTAGTTAGGTTTGTTGTTGCGGTTTCTAAAAGTTAAAAAGTATCTTTTTTCTTACATTTTAATAATTAATTATTTTTTTTATTAAATCTATTGAAGTTAAAATGTTCCTCATCATTCGTTAATTATCATTTCACTAGTTAAAAAAAACATAAAAATGATAAATCTATCTTTGGTATAAATCAATAATTTTATTTATTTATTTTTTTAAAAAAAATTTCTGTTTTTGCTCTCATTTTTTTTTATAGAAATTGAATTGAAAAAAAAACACATTGTTTTCGTTTTCAACAACGTAAAATTGATTCTGATCACAAAAAAAAAAAAAAAGAGTAAAATTGATTAAAAAATTTTATTTTCACTTGTTTCAAAATAAGTTCACTCTCTTCTCCCTCTTTCACCAACGTCGGCCACCACCCATGTCCACCACTAACCTCCACCACCTCCAGCTGCGTGGCCACCCACGACCTTTGGCCAACTGCTGCTAACCTCCAACAAGCTCCGACCACCTTTTGGAGACTAGTATATCACTAAACATATTTCTTTATTTTTATTTTCCTTTATTTTAAAAATATTTGTATACTCTAAACAAGTTTAAAAAAAATGATCAGAATGAGGCTCAAAGCAAGACGGTGTCTGAAACCAAGGGCATCTACTACTAAGGGCCAAACCTTGCAGAGATCAAATTCAATTTCTCACTTGAAAAAAAAAGACAAATGACATACATAGATTTGTTTTGCCATAGCTAGAAAGCAAAGAACAAACAAAAGTACTGTGCAAAACAAGGAAGCTGCTTGAGGCTAATAGATTAGACAAAATTAGAAATAATATTTAATGGATGATGATTCTTTGCAATAATTTTTTTATTTAATGGATGATGATTCTTTGCGATAAATTTTTTTTTATAATGGTCTTACTGTGCCAATTGACAATCTAACCGTCTATTATAAAATTTAAAGTACAATTTCATTGTGTATTTTATTTATTTTTAATTTCAATTGTTGAATTATGTACTTTATGGTCCTCTTTGTAATCATTTCGTTTTTAATTTTTAGTTTATATTTACAAAAATTTAAAAAACTATCATAAAACCTTGTATGATAATTTTTTTTGGTATATAAATGATTGTCTCAGTTTAAAAATTTGAAGAAAAAAAATAAACTCAAAAAATGAGATTACGTCGGTTTTTAAACAGAAATTTAAAAAAATTGACTAACAAATTTTTTTGTTCAATTAATTTTTTTTTCAAATATTTTTTTCCAATTATAATCTGTGTGATTCCATTGTCATAAATAATAAATATAACTATTTTAGGCCTAAAAAAACATATTTTTTAGTTTATATTTTTAAAATTTTTCAAACATTTTATTCAAACCAAACGTATTTATAATTTATATTTTCTAAAAATAAATAAAAACTAATTTATAATCTTTTTATAAATATAAATAAAAAACGTAAATATTATCAAACGCCACCCTAACATGTCATTTATCACGTATTATTTTGGGTTGTACCCAAATTAAAAATTCTTTCCAATAGTACCTCTTAAGTCGTCAAGTGTTGCGTCAAATTTATCACCTAAAAAGCCAAACATATCATTAGGTAATAGTTTAAAAGCTTAATGTTAGAAATTTTAGGCCTTGTTTGGTTTGTATTTCTCAAAAAAATTTAAAAAAAATTCTTTACAAATGAGTTTTTAAAAGTAGTTAAACCAAACAAATTTTTCCAAAACTTGTTTGGTTTACAAGTTTTCTAAACAAATCTCTCTCTCATACACATCAAATCAATCACTTTTTTCAAAACTCTCTCTCAAAATAATTTTTTAAAACATCTTTTGAAAAAAAATCAAACCAAACAAATTTTCGTACTTTTTATCTCAAAACATGTTTCTCAAATACAAACCAAACAAGCCAATGTTTTATCAAATATCTTAGATGAGTGTGAGACACTTATGTGAAACATTTGATAGAATATTTAGTAAAACATTTGAAGCACATAATATTTTTTATTTTAAAAATAAATCCAATGGTCAAATTAATACGAGAGCATTGCAGTGGTTAATTTAAAACTTTATTTTTTGCACTATAACAAGCCAAAAAAAAAACCTTAGCAAAGCTAATATGACTTTTACCATTAGTGCTATATAGTTTTTTTTTTTTTTTAGAAAAATTACAAAAAAATAAAAATGAGAATTTTACCCTAGTAACAAATTAAACTGATAGTATTTCAAAAGTAAAAAAAAAAAACAGTTAGTTAATAAAAGACTACTAAGGATGCCTTGGTCAATAACTACGCATGTTTTGGGTATTTGTCTTTTCTTCTTCTTTATTCTCTGTTTATTTTTCTTTATTTGTTTTCCACAGCTTTAATTTGTTCTGTTCTGTTCTGTTCTGGCTCAACTCAAAGCTACTATAAAGCACAGAAAGCACTCCCGTTGCCTTCACATAACATATTATTTTGGGTTGTACCCAAATTAAAAATTCTTTCCAATAGTACGTCTTAAGTCGTCAAGTGTTGTGTCAAATTTATCACCTAAAAAGCCATACATATCATTAGGTAATAGTTTAAAAGAGTAATGTTGGAAATTTTAAATGTTTTATTAAATATTTTATATGAATGTGAGACATTTATATAGAATATTTGATAGAATATTTAATAAAACATTTGAAGTATATAATATTTTTTATTTTAAAAATAAATTCAAAGGTCAAATTAATACGAGAGCATTGCAGTGGTTAATTTAAAACTTTATTTTTTGCACTATAACAAGCCAAAAAAAAAACCTTAGCAAAAAAAAACCTTAACAAAGCTAATATGACTTTACCATTAGAGCTAAATAGTTTTTTTTTTTATTTTGTTAGAAAAATTACAAAAAAATAAAAATGAGAATTTTACCCTAGTAACAAATTAAACCGATACTATTTCAAAAGTAAAAAAAAAAAACAGTTAGTTAATAAAAGACTACTAAGGATGCCTTGGTCAATAACTACGCATGTTTTGGGTATTTGTCTTTTCTTCTTCTTTATTCTCTGTTTATTTTTCTTTATTTGTTTTCCACAGCTTTAATTTGTTCTGTTCTGTTCTGTTCTGGCTCAACTCAAAGCTACTATAAAGCACAGAAAGCACTCCCGTTGCCTTCAAAATTTAGCATTGTTTGTTATCTTATCTGGGTTTTCTCAGAAAACCATTATTATTGTGTGTTTATCAGCAAGATTTACAGTCTCTGGGTCACTAACATAGTCAGTTTTATTGTGGAGAATCTGGGTTTTTCTCATCTCTTCTCCAATGGCAATCTCTCTCCACATCTGTAACTCCTCTCGCTCTCTATCTCTCTCTCTCTCTATATATATATATATGTATAGCACAAACTTTCCTTGTTCCTCTGTGATCTGGGTCTCTCCCATTTTCTTGGTTTTACGAATCTGTATACAATTTATGTGTGTATCGTCTGTCTGATCTGTGAGTTTAAGCATAGCTTGATACTTTACTGTTCGGTTTTTGTGTTTTGTGTTTTTGGGTTTCGAATAATTTTGCAAGATGTACCTTAATTTTACACATTCTAAGAATTTTAAGGTAATCCTCTACTTGTTTTTCTTATTTTATGGTAAGAATGTGAAATTCCTAGTTTTGTTGGTGAATGAACTAAGCTAATTCATGTATTTTTTGTGTGGAAATGCAGCTGTTGAGAGTTAGGGTATTGTTTTAGGTAAACAGGCTTGAATAATGTTGGTGGTTTGGAGCTATTTTGCTAAAATTTAACAATTTTGTGTTACGTTTGTGGTGAACTGTGGTGACTTATTTTTTTTGATTTAATGGTTCTTTGGCTCAAACAAATAAACAAAGATGGTGTTGTGGAGAATCTATATGGTGTGCTTTTTGTGTAGGGGTCAAAACTCTTGTTGGGTTTTCTCATATTCAATTGGGCTCTGAGTTGTTCTAAATGTCTCTGTTTGCCAACCCCAAGTAGTTGGAATTAGGATTGGTTTTGATGTCTTGACTTGAGTTTCAGATCTCTCTCTCTCTCTCTCTATAAATATATATACATGTCACCTCTGCAGTAGCTTTAAAATTTATTGTTTGACCTATCTTCAATGATTTGTTAGAAGGATAGTCAGTTTACATAGCCAACAGTTTGACGATAGAGCTCGGAATTTTGGACTATGGAAGTCGTTGTTGGTTACTTAGTGGGTGTCGAGGAAGTGTTTTTTTATGTAATTTTTTTTAGTTGCAGGATATTATTGGATAAATTTTTTTTGATGTTTGGGAAGATAGGTGGGTTTTTTTGTGGTTGGATGTGATGCTTGTGAGAGAAAAAGTGAAATGATTATGGGGTTGGATGTGATATTTTGTTTGGATTTGTTTTTTTTTGGTTTTGCAAAATTTTGTCTTTTAGTATCAAAAATAAAAAAAAACCCAGCACACAAACTTCCCAAACACCACCTTATGTTACACAGACTCTTCAAAATAAATCAAATACTCATGTCAGATACCCAACCCTCGGATTAGGGTATGGAATATGTGTCGGATACTTTTCATCAGACACTTCTTATATAATTGTATTTAACACTACTATTATATGTACATTGTATAATTGTTGTAAATATCTTTTTGACGCTATAAGTTACATATAGCACCATTTTATCTTACATACTTGATTAAAAATAATAAAAATATGACATTTGTTTGCTAAGTCCGCATACCCTTAAATTTATGGTTTGATCAGTCCGACATGTAGATGCATATCCGCACCCGACCTCTGTACCCGAGTCCATGTAACATTCAAACCATAAATTTAAACTTCAATAAAACATAGCTAGTGTTTGTTACAGGTTTTCCATCTTAAAAGTATTGAAAGTTAAGATTTCAATCATATTTCTACCAGAAACTAATTAAATAAATTAGCCAACTTGAAATGCTGGCTATATGTATCTAAATCAAAATTAGGGTAATAAATTATAATAGTGGCCTCCCACTTTTCAATTAGATTCTCTGGAGTAGGTTTCTCAAATATTTTATTTCCTATGATTCTGTGCTGACTCTCTTGCTAGGAGAAAGTTCCTGGCATTTATCCAATATTTTAGAAATATTCAAAGTCAACTTACTGGAGTTGATTAACTTAATTATATCTTCTAGCTTTTTAATGTTTGAAGGTGGTTGGAATTGGTTAATCTTTAGGTGTATTATAATAATTGATTTAGTGGATGTTAACTGCAATCAGGAGGGTAATGGTAAAACGGTTTTGTAATTTTTGTAGTTGTTTGACGGAAGTGTCATTTTTCAGAGACAGCCTATGTCAAAAAAACCAACTGATTGATCTAGTTATATTGTCTGGTTGTGATACAGATGTATCATAAATCTGTTCTTGAGTATGGAAAAGAAAAAAAAATCATAGGGCATGAACTTTCTGTGAATTTAGTTTATGATGTTTGGTATCTGATAAATTGTTTTAGGCAAATCCATAGAGCAACACATTACACCCCTGATAATGAGGTTAAAATTTAAAGGATTCTCTGTACTCTCCCGAGGCATCCTAATTTTCATTGACTCATGTGGAAGCTTGATTTCATGGATGCTGCTCATTTGATGGTTTTTCCTGTTGACTGGTGTAGATTCAGACACTTCATCACCCATGCACGTTTTATCATTATTTTGTTTAGACAGCTATAAATTTTTTATACACCAAATTATTCTCCCTTTCTCAGTTGGGAGACTTCTCTTCTTAAGATAATTGTGAGCACCTAATATTTTGTTCACTTGAAAAGCAAGTCTTGCATGAGTTTTTTTTTGGTATATTATGCCAGGCTGATGTGTTTGGTGCAACATTTTCAGTTCTTTTTATTTATTTATTTTTATGGTTTTATGAAACACATGGAAAATACTTTTATCTACAATTTGATAGCATCCAATATCATTGATTATTATGTACAAGAATTAAATCTCTCTCTCTCTCTCTCTCTCTCACAAAAATATGCTTCTCTGATTCCTCCCTTCCTATTGATTTCTTTAGAGTTTACACTGTAGGCCTTATGTTTTTATACTCGTCCATGTTTACAGGTTACAAGTGACCTTGAGATTAAAAGCATCATGAAATTTGGATCAAAGAAAGGATGGAAACCGAAAGTTCCTTTCCGTTTGAGAGGAAAATCAGCCATCCGTTTTTGCATATTCCCCAGAATCAAACCAGCTATTTATGGTCCAGGCAATACACCAGTTTATCTCAATGTGTATGACTTGACACCCATGAATGGCTATGTCTATTGGGCTGGTTTTGGCATCTTTCACTCTGGTGTAGAAGGTAAAGTCATCTGCTTTATATTTTGTTCTTTTTATTTTTCTTTTTGATAAATACTTTGTTTTCATGCTTTGTTTGTTTGTTTGTTTCTTTTCTTCTTTTTTTGTTTTTTAAGTTTTTTTTTAGATTTCTCTATTTGACCGTACACCTAGTTTTGCTGTATTTGGTACTGAGATGAGAACAAGTTGTATCTATCTTGGACTTGGGACTTGGGGGGATGTTTTTGATGCTTTCCTGACCATGCTGCAATCTTGCCCAAATCCAAGATGGCTTGTATTTGTATATTTGTTGCTTTAGAAACAATGCACGATATATAATCAGAAAAGATGATTTAAAGAGATATAGCTTCTTTTCATCTATTCTCTAGTTCATGTGCACTGGTGCCTCTTGCGACCCTTCTGTCATCAAGTGGTAGAGCAGTTGTGCATCAAATTATAATTCATCCAGAAATCTAGAACGATATATGAAGTCTTGTCCTCTTGCTGAAATTGGATAGGAAGTCTTCTTTTCCGATGTCTTTTCACATGCATTGTATTGCAGATTAGTCAATTAACTGTGCACAAATAGAAAATTCTCATTGTTCAGTTTATTTTTATGTATTGCTCCTAATTATTCAGATGAAGTAAATATTCTTCAATTACTCTGCTTGCACTTTTCAGTTCATGGAGTAGAATATGCTTTTGGAGCTCATGACTATCCATCGAGTGGTGTCTTTGAGGTTGAACCTCGGCAATGCCCAGGATTCAAGTTTAGGAAGTCAATACTCATCGGAACTACGTGCTTGGATGCAATCCAGCTTCGGGAGTTCATGGAGCGCCACTCTGCAAACTACAATGGCGACACGTATCACTTGATTGTCAAGAACTGTAACCATTTTTGCAAGGACATTTGTTACCAGCTGACGGGGAAACCAATTCCAAAATGGGTAAATCGCCTGGCAAAAACAGGTACACTTTCCTCATCATAACCACTGAATATTTGATTTTTTGCTTACATGAAGAGAATTTTCTAATTTTTTTTTCTTTCATTTAGCCCTTGGGATGAGAGATGAATCTCTTAGTGGGGCAACCTATCAAGCGATGTTACCATTGTGCTACATTTTTTTTCCCCTTTAAATCATGTATTTTATTTGACTTTCTTCATTCTGTTTATTATCCTGTTAGGTTCAATCTTCAACTGTGTACTACCCGAATCACTTAAAATTTCTGCTGTGCGACACGATCCAAGTTGCGAAGCATGTGATAGCGAGAAGAGAAGGTTGAGAAGTGCCTTCAGTTGCTTATCTTCTATCTCAACGAGGCAAAGGCAGTTGTCAACATCTTCATCGTTACAACTGCCCTTTAAAGGGTGCTTACCTCCATGGGAATTCAGTAAGTCTAACAACGGGTCACTAAGGAAAGGCACAATGAAGATGACTGTTTAAAATCCCTTTTCTTCAAAATCTCTTGAACAAGATTTGTTTCGAAGGTTTCTCTAACCTTTTATGTAATTTTAAATACAATGAGCAAGTTCCACAGGCTGTATTGGCGGCAAAGTGTGTAAACATTGTGATGTTTTTACCTATCTCAGCAGAATGAAGCTTGCCATCATGATGTATTTTCTTTTTACTTTCTGTCGGTTGTGTGGTAATTGTTGTCGTCTTTGTAACATTATGTTCTGATGTTAAAATTCTCTTATGCTAATTTGTTAAAATTCACTTGTTTCAGCGGAACACATTTCTTTGTGGAACGTTATCTCGTGTTTGTTTAGCTTGTGAAATGTTTTCTCGTGTTTAGTTTCATCCTAGAAACTAGTGTGCTAACAATTAAACATCCTTGAAACTAGTGTGCTAACAATCGTGGTGGTGATGGTGTGTTGGTGGGTAGTAATGTGATGAAAGTGGTAATAATATAGTGGGCGAGAAGAATTTAATTTAAAAATATTTTATTGACAAAATAACCTTCATTTTCATTGATCTAACTCGTCTTTTTTCTGTTTTTTCACTCTTTTTTTTTTTTTTTTTGGGTACCAAAACCCAAAAAAATTGGCGTGATATCCGATTTTGAAAACGCTATGTGTTCTTAATCCGGTTATTAGTCTAGAATTACTGTGTTATGCGCGCAGCAAACAAGTATAGACTAGATTGCCTAATTTGGAAAGAAACATTGCATATCTGTTTGTTTTGAAAATGCTTTGGAATTTGCTACTCGCGAGTAGGCTAAACACAGGTTTTCAATGAGTTTTTCCAACTCAAACAATCCAACCTTCCCCACAGGCATTCCAAACAGTTATCTCACATAAGCACTTAGCCGCATGGTAAGCATACTGTCATGTTAACATTCACACGCATGTTGGATGCTAAAGCGTAACTACTTACATTGTACTCCTGCCAAAACAGTAAACTAGTTAGCAAACATGCATGTCCTAGTTCATGTCAACAGTGGCTAATGCATCACATGCAAAATGCGATCTAGGCAGGCTCGGCTAACCTAAACATGGTATAATGAAAATGCACAATTATCACATATTCAGTTTAGAATTCGAAATACGAATGCAGTTAGCGTGATGTACCGAGCCTAATGCATGTAATACAAAATGCATGAATGCACGCATACATAGCATAAGGTATGCTGAATTTAAAACATGCCCTAATCTACCATCATAAGCAGGTAAATAAAAGTGAAGAAAGACGTGAGGTTGGAAGACATACACACACTCACGCACACTTATTACAGATTTTCCCTCACTCGGAGGGACCCGAATAAATATTACAAATTAATTAACTACGCAAGCTAATTAAATATTACAAATTAATTAATTAATTAACAATTAACTAATCTAGGAAAAACAGGTAAACCGCCTCGGGAAATGCGCCGCCATGCACAAGCTGCCTCTGTTTTCCTTCCCTTCACTCCTCTGGAGGCTGTAAAACCTCAGGGTTACATCCCTGGACACTGCGGAGTACCACCGGCTGAATGAAACTGCCACCGGCAGTGTGGTATGGCCATCGACACAAAATAGAGTCTGTCGGCAGAGAAAAGATTGCCGGTCGGCACCTTACACTGCCGGTCAGCAAAGAAAGCCTGCAGAACCTGCAACTCACAGCAACAGAGGGCAAACAAGGCATGGCAGCACAATTCAAGGCATGTATGCACCAACCATGTCCCTTATCATGATAAATGACTCAAAGGGGCATGTGCCTCGATTCTCGGACCACCAATCACGCATTTTCATGCATGATGGCCAAGGAATCAAGTATGCAACTTCGATTTCAAATGTATGCAAACCAATCAAACAAAACTCCCAATCCTATCACCCAAGTCAAGGGACAAGATGCAATGCAACCTAGGCATACAAGCTAAAGGATGCAACATGGCATGGCAATGAACTTATGCAATCATGCAAGCATACATATGGCAATGCAAACTAATGGAAAGATGGACTTATACATGGATTGGCAGCTCTAATAAGGCCTAAGACAGTGGCCAAAGTGCTAAAAGTGAGGGCTAAATGGCATACATACACATATACACATAAGGACCAACACTAAGCACAAATCAAGCAACATTCAAGCACACTTGAAAGGGACAAACATGAACAATTTGCATGCAAATTTCAGAGGTGATAGGTGATGCAAAACAGCCCCAAACATAACGAAACAACACTCAACGCATGGAATGAATCCCGAAATGCAAAATTAGTCACATGAAATGGCTTACAGCTATACAAAGCATGCATAACATGGATATGCAATGAAATAGACAGTAGCAAGACACCCCAAAATTAGCATTTTACTAGTACAACTCATGGCCAAAAAGCAAACAAAGATAGGGCAAAAAATGGCATACAAAAACGGCCCTAAACATGAGATTATGAAGCAACTCACAGCTGCTGTCCCAAACATGTTAGGGCCCTTCAACAACATTGAAGAGGGGCCCAAAATATGCACATTTACAGTTCATGGGAGCCCCGAAATCAGTATACAAACATGCTAGAAATGCAATGCAAAATGAGGCTCAAAAACATGGATTTCAAAAGCAAGTAACAACATAGAGTATCCAAACAGTGTTGAGCCCTTCTTAAATGTTGAAGAAGGGCTCAAAATAAGCATATTTTCAGTTTACATCAGGCTCTAAAACAAATCACACGCAGCCAAATTTCATGCAAGATTATGGCATTCAAGGAGGATATTGAAGCAAGTGCAAGCTACTGTCAGCTCCAAACAAGCAAGAGGTCCTCAATCAAACATGAAGAGGGCCTCAAAATATGATGATTTGAAATTTAGGATCGGAGCCCAAAGTGCAAGCGACTATGGCTTAGATATGAAGCAAGAAAAAAGCTAGAAAAGGGAAGATGAGGACTCACCCTTGAAGACCAGCAAACCAACACCTCTTGGACCAAGTTTGGGAGTTTTAACCTCTGGAGGACAGCCTCCAGCTGCTGGAATAGGCCGTTGGATGCCTTGTGCCTATGAAAAGGTTTTTATTGAAGAAATTGAAAAGGAAATGGCCCAAGAATCAAGGGTGTTTGATGGTTGAATGGGAGAGGTATAAGAGAGAGATGGAGGTTTGTATGTATGTATATTAGATATGTATGGTATATCTCTGGTTTTTTTGCCTCAAATCTCTAACCTAAACAAAGGAGGGGGAAGAGGTGCTATATAAGCATACTGCCTAAGCTTCTAAGACAAGCTTCAAAGGGGCCAAGGGTTTCAAGGGGGGTGCAAAGGCTTCTAGAGGAAGCTAAAACAGCTGGCCAATGCATTCTCTCAGAAGCTTTGGCCAAAAGGTTCAAGCTTCTAGAAGGTTGGGGGTTCAAAGGTTCACAAGTGCAAAACAAACACACATGTGCGGGGGGATCAATTTTGTGACTTCCAGCTGGGCACAGCTGGAATCCACTTCCAATCTGCAGATATGCTCGGAAAGGTCGTCGGTCTAGCTAAAAATCTGCCGGTCAGCAAAATATATAGGCCGGTCGGCCCAAATAAATGCCGGCCGGAATTTAAATAAGTAGTGCCGGTGGGATGGCCGTGTAAGGTCAAAAACTGCCCCGGTTGGTGTCACAAAATGAAAGGCCCACGGAGTAAGCTTTCCGACGGTGGTGGCCTTATAGCTAAACTCCAAGTGTAACAACAAGATAAGCCCCCGATTCAGCGAGGGCTGCTCGATTCTCTCACTACCCGGATTCATGCCGAACTTCTCTCCCAGACCAATTTTTTTTCTCCTCTCCTTTCCTCTTCTCTTCAAACTCCAACCCCTAAACAAAGGAGATTTTGAAAGAATTTGCCTTCTCTCCTTGCTGAAGAAATTGAAATCTTTGGCACTACTGCACAATCTCTCAACACAGCACAAATCAGTAGTGCCCCAAAGTCATAGGGCGGTCAAAAATGGGTGTCTACAGTTGCTCCTCTTTGAACAGAACTCGAAGTCATAAACAATTGACGGGAGTGATGTCAAAGCGCCGAGAGGCGACCATTTTTGGACAGGCCGAAGACTTGGACAACAAACAAAATACGCGGATAAATAAAGTGGTTGCCGCCCACAGGCTGCCTAACGTATCCCTTTGCAAGGAATCAAAACCAGACGTAGTTTTCAGTGGGCAAGATGCAAATGAATGGTGCAGGAATACTTTGATAATTAGGAACTTATAGCGCACACGCGAGCCAGTTTGCAACTCAAAACAATGTAATTACTAACAAGTACACAGCAAGATGCGCACAAGATAGCGCGAACGGATACATTGCAAGATGAACGTGAGGTGCAAAAACAGAGGTGCGATTGTAGCTGTATGAAGCAAGTTATGGCAAATAAATGCCAAATTTTAAGCGAAATGCTATGCCAGCAAGTAAGACATGAACAAACTACATCTCATGCAGAAAGGATCTGTAAGAGAATTTTCCATTCTCACGAACATGTGCGTTAAGATACACAAAAGTGAAACGAAGTGCGATAGATACACTAGTGATACAACACGCGTGATAGATAAACAAAAGTGAAGAGAGTGTGATGGATACAACCAGGTAAGCGTAGTGTGATGGATACACTGTACATGCAAAGTGTGATGGATACACAAGATGAGCATAGTTGATAGATACACAAAAGGTGAAGCGAGTGTGATGGATCCTATATAGAAGCCAAAGTGTGAGCGTGTGATAGATACACAAAAGTGTGCACTAAGTGTGGATAGATGCACTAAGTGAAACAAGGTATGATAGATACACAAAGTGAGAGTGTGTGATTGATACAAAAACGAACGTTGGTGTGATTGGATACCACAAGCCGAGCATGTGATAGATACACAATATATGAAGCAAAAATGTGATACATAGCAGAGTTGAGCGGGTGATTAGATACACTTAAGCGAGTGTGTGAGCATAGTGTGATAGATACACAAAGGGTGACCAAAGTGTGATAGATCACTAAGTGAACAAGAGTGGTGATGGATACACAAAAGGTGAAACACAGAGTGTGATAGATGTACTTAGTCGAACAAATATGATAGTATATCCTGAAAATGAACCACAAAGTGTGATAGATGCACTAATGTGAACAGAGTGTGATTGATAACTGAAGGTGAACACAAAAGTGTGATTAGATGCACTATGTGAACAGAGTGTGATTGATCACTAAAAACGAACACAAGTGTGATAGATGGCACAGTGTTGAACAAAGTAATGATTTATACTAAAATGAACACAAAGTGGATAGATGCACTATGTGAACAGAGTTGGTGAT